TGAAAAGTCACACAGTTCTAAGTTAGACTAAGATCTATCATCATTGAAAGTTTCATGATAATGGCTTTATTCAGTCTTGAGATATCCTGCGAACAAATTCGAGGAAGAATAATAAAAATAAATAATAATAATAATAATAAAGAAAAATCTTGACGAAATCAAAAGGTGATACGTTGACTTCGTTACGTATCACCTAATAAAGAAAAATCTTGACGAAATCAAAAGGTGATACGTTGACTTCGTTACGTATCACCTAATAATAATAATAATAATAATAAAGAAAAATCTTGACGAAATCAAAAGGTGATACGTAGACTTCGTTACGTATCACCTAATAAAAATCTTGACGAAATCAAAAGGTGATACGTCTACGTACGTATCACCTAATAAAAATCTTGACGAAATCAAAAGGTGATACGTCTACGTACGTATCACCTAATAAAGAAAATCTTGACGAAATCAATAGGTGATACGTAACGAAGTCTACTTTATCTTAGGCTTTGGACAATCGAATCCTCTTTAACGTTCTTTCACAGAAACGCATATTAAATGTAATGCATACGTTTGAATGGGTGGTCGGCGAGCTTGCTCCCACGACGGTTTCATGAAACGCTACCTTGGCGATTATAATAAAAAAGAACAACTTATAAAAGAAAAGGGTTATCTTAGGGAGAAAGCAGATTTGTCGGACAGATAACTCATAATGATTGTGATATTTCAATTTTCAAAATTGATTTTTATTTTTAGGTGATACGTAGACTTCGTTACGTATCACCTAATAAATAATAAATAAATAAATAAATAAATAATAAAAATCTTGACGAAATCAAAAGGTGATACGTAGACTTCGTTACGTATCACCTAAAAATGAAAATCAATTTTGAAAATTGAAATATCACAATCATTATGAGTTATCTGTCCGACAAATCTGCTTTCTCCCTAAGATAACCCTTTTCTTTTATAAGTTGTTCTTTTTTATTATAATCGCCAAGGTAGCGTTTCATGAAACCGTCGTGGGAGCAAGCTCGCCGACCACCCATTCAAACGTATGCATTACATTTAATATGCGTTTCTGTGAAAGAACGTTAAAGAGGATTCGATTGTCCAAAGCCTAAGATAAAGCCTAAAACTAAAGATACGGCCGGCTGTCGACACCTGACTACCACTGGTCGGGAGTTGGCTTTCAGTGGTCTCTGGAACATTTTGGTCCATTGGAGGTTTACTCTGCTGCATCGAAAACCTTTTGCAGACTAAAATGATCGTGGATAGGCTATTTTTTGTCTTTCAAGGGTAGGCAACAGTTCTCAGACTGATTGACGACAGAATCCCCGTGGTTGTCGACTATTACCGGGCGATAGTAGGTTGAGAAAAAGTCGGCAGTTGATCTGCGAATGATGTACGATCAGATACCGATTAGACACTAAACACTTGTCGAACATAAATAACCAGAAAGAAATCTAATGTTAAATTTTGAAAGTTAAATTCATACTGCTGTTTTTACAAATTCAATTTCTTTGATACTTTTCCATTGAAAGAAAAGAGGAAGAATAAAACAGAAGAAAGGGAACTAAATTGCTTATACTGTTTCTTGATCTTATTCGATCATGTTATTCTGTCATTTTCTTTATGTGAAAATAACCCAGTTTTATTTCCTGTTGAAGTAGCCTAGTAAAAGCACGAAACGTCACCTCAAAAGTGAGATAAAGTCTGATCTATTCATTGATACATGTTACGTATGCTGCTGTTTTTTTTATATGGATTCGGAAAACAGTCCCTCCATTTCTTAATAAGTATCTTCGAAGGCCATTCAGTAACCGAACAGTTACTAATAAACCATTCGTAAATATTTCCAGCTTTAAAACCTCACATTTTCAAGAAAGATAAATCGGGATAAATCAATGTTTCACATACTTTAACAATAACAACACTTGGTGAGGTTATGAATAATTTAGTTGTAAACTGTATGTAAAAAGACGATAAGGTGAAAGCCTTGCGCACCTTTCAATTATTTTAGCATCTAGGTTATTAAATTTGTATATCTGTATATCGATCGTTTGAATAACGTACCATAGCCCTTTGCATGTGTAATTCGACACGTTCTTTGATTCGTGTGTCACGAGCGGGGGGGGGGGAGGAGCATGCAATTGATGTTTTCTCTTGAAATTCAAATGGTTAATCCAAAAAAAAATGCTGAGCATAAGGTAATTCATTTCCCGCAAAAGTTTAATTGCAATTCCCAAACAACTTTGTTAAAATTTTCGACCGCATTGGTCTTCTGACCTTTATCATTTCTCATTTTGCCAATTAAAGTTCAATATAATGGAAAGGAATTGTAATTAACCCGTTCCTAACACCTGTAAATGTTACAATGGCGTTTATTAACAGACATTGAATATTGTGTTTTAAAACTTGACGGAGTGGGATTTTGCCATGCTTTATGAAAACGATTTTATTGATTTGGCATTTGTACTCATTTCCGGGGCCAGTTAGGTGTAAATTCAACTCACAAAAAGAAAACACTAATTGTAAACCAAATGTTAATTAAGGAGTTGTTTTTTATTGTTTTGGAGTTGCATTTACCCGCAACATTTTTTGCTAGAGGCCCCTGATTAATTACCTGACTACAAAATGATTTCAAAGCGGTCCCGAAGGAAAAGTTCCTAAGATATTTATTGTGCAACAAATGGGTCGGATAATTACATTGAGCTGCATTTGCACACGGAAATTGCCGAATTGGTGGTTATATCACCCTTTTTCAAAGATCATTGCTTCTACTCTATGTCGTCGGAGGAACCACGGCCGTAGTACTGAAAAAAATTAGTCCATGACCTTCATAGGCGTATCCAAGCATCGGTTGAGGGGGCGGGGGAGGGGAATTGATCCGATGGTCATCTATATAATCTTTTTTTTTTCGGGCCGAATCATACTCATATTGTTTGTACTCTATCTGTGCAGTGAGTTTATTTCACTACGTATCGTTAAGGTCGATATTTTTTCTAAGAGATGTGTTCCTTAATATCCAAGCATTATCTATATATTGATCTCTATTCTCTATGTTTATAGAGGTTCCAGATTTCTATCTCAATTCATGTCGAGGGCTCTAATATTGCCGCTTTCTTCCAGTGCAGGCAATTATAATTAGACGAGATTATGCTTAATGCAACCAATAATCTCAGTTCAGTCATGTTGATGTATTTAATAAAGGAGAAATGTCAGTTGATACACTGTTAAAGGGAAAACAACATGAGTTAGCTAACAAGAAATATAAGATTGTTTCAGACTATGTCGCATTTTAACCCAATAATCTGATAGGTCTAAACGAATAATCATTGGGGACACAAACCCATGTGAAGGTATGAGATAATATCTGTGATGAGTTCTGTTTGTGGTTATTTTTGTTCAGCTCACTGAGAAAGCTTGCGAGTTTGTTCATCAACATGAAAATGAGCAGAGTCTCCCTCAAGACGCTGATTGTGACGTAGGAATTCAGGATCAGAAACCGTAAGTTCTTTTAGTTTGCTATCAATCATCATCAAGTAAAACGGAGGCCTAGGTTGTGACATATTATCATTGGTTATTATAACTTGTATTCGCGTAATTACATTAGCATATTAGTTAATAAAACGGAAAGAGATTAAAGTGAGGGTAGGGTGAGTTAATAAAATTGTTATCGGCATTCTTAAGATGATAACGATAGAGAAGGAGAGAAAAGGGTAAAATACAAAGAAAGATGAAGAGAGTGAGAGAGAAAGAGCGGGAAAGTTGGAGAGGGAGAGAAGAAGAGAGAAAGAGAGAGAGAGATAAGGAAAGAGCGAGAGCGGAAGGGGGATAAGATGTCGAGTCGACTAGGATAACTATCATTTTATGAATAGAAAATAGAACGAATAATGATTAATATATTCATGCTTAGACATTTTATCACTTCTCCATGGACATCAGAAATGAAGAAAACAAATAAAAACCTTATGTGTAATTATTATGTATATTATTATATATTCATTGTACTTTACAACGCATGTCCCATATAAACTTCATTTTTAGCACAACAGTCAATTTCCATTATATTTTAATTCTACTCTCCTACTAGATGAAACTCGGTATGATCGACTCACTTCCCTATATGAGACTCCATTCTCTATTTGAAAACTATCCGCTCACTTGAAAGTTTGTTTATGGTTGCCCTTTTATTAAAGGTTTGGTTTCATAACGCTCACAAACTGTTGGCGTGGTTGGGTTGAAAAGCTTTGAATTTTGTCTTTGTTCCTTTACTATGCCTTTTTCTATTGATAAGACTGAATTCGCCTCTATCTGACCATTTAGAAATTACAATTTTATTTAATAATCTCACATTATCGCTATCGACAAAATGCATTGACTCGCTTTCAATAGTCAATGAGGTATCAATACGCAACAAGGGACTTAAAATGGACCCCCCCCCCCTTCTCCCCCGAAGATGGTGTCAGACTCAAATGAGATCATGTAATTGTATTGCCTATTTTCAATCGCGTATCATTCCATTGATTTGACATTCATTTAGATTCGAACAAGTATAAATTAACTTGACATACAGGGTTCAACAAGTTTAAGTGATATTTTGTATAATATCACTTCGATTACAGCAATATAAATATGTCTTTTTGTTTAGGGTTGATGGACCCAGGATACCGCTGATCTCATCACTGCAAAGGATGCCATCACAACATACATCCGTTGTCTCGAATACTGAACACAAGAAAGCACAAGAAGAGCATACATATAGACGAAGCAGTGTTCCGTTTAGTACGCCTTCATCACTGCGACCTGATCCGGCTATAGAGGAAGAAAATTCAGAGCTATCACCCGGCGCTTTGGTGTTCCACGTTACCGACACATCTGCTGATGACAAGTACATCCTATTGGAAGAATGCTCATCTCCACTGCAGCCAGCGGAAATCAAGGAAATTTTAGAGCTTGATACGAATGATGATTGGGATGCAATGTATGACACACTACAGAAAGAAATGCCTCCGAGTGACGCCAATGCCAAACTAGAGCTACCATTCAACCCTGACATAGACAAGATTGATGAGGAAGGATACACGCAGCTTTACAAGGCAGCTTTAGAAGGTCATCTCGAAGATGTTGATGATCTCATTTCACGGGGAGCCAATCCAAATAAACCAAGTAAAGGTGGACTCCGTCCTTTTCATGCAGCGGCTCAAGAAGGACATGCTCACATCGTTGACTTCCTCATCCTTCAAGGAGCGGACGTAAATGAAGAAGATGAAAAAGGAAAAACCCCTCTCATTGGTGCAGCTATTCGAGGTCACATGAAAGTCATGGAATATCTCATTCAGCATGGGTCTGATGTGAACAAGGCAGATGCCGAGGGTTGGACTCCATCTCATGGTGCTGTTCAAGGGGGCCATCTAGAAGCCGTCAAATACCTCGTGGCTGAAGGAGCAAAGCAGAACAGCTATGATGGATTAACCACGCTCTTTGCAGCTGCACATTTGGGTCATTCAGACATCGTGGAATACTTCATTTCTAAAGGAGCTGATATAAATGAAACAGATGACAAAGGAAGGATTCCTCTCCACGCTGCAGCTTCTGGAGGCCACGTGAAAGTCATGGAATATCTCATTCAGAAAGGATCTGATGTGAACAAGGCAGATGCCGAGGGTTGGACTCCATTCAATGCTGCTGTTCAGTATGGCCATCTAGAAGCCGTCAAATATCTCATGACTCAAGGAGCGAAGAAGGACGGCTATGATGGAATGACCCCTCTCTATGTCGCCGCACGATTGGGTCATTTGCACATCGTGGATTACTTCTTTTCCAACGGAGCTGATGTGAATGAGGTAACTGACAAAGGGAATATTCCTCTCCATGGTGCAGCTGATCGAGGCCACTTGAAAGTCATGGAATATCTCATTCAGAAAGGGTCTGATGTGAACAAGGCAGATGCCGAGGGTTGGACTCCATTCAATGCTGCTGTTCAGTATGGCCATCTAGAAGCTGTCAAATATCTCATGACTCAAGGAGCGAAGCAGAACCGTTACGATGGGATGACCCCAGTCTACGCTGCAGCGTATTTTGGTCGTTTAGACATTATCAAATTCTTCATATCCGAAGGAGCTAATGTGAACGAAGAAAATGACAAAGGGAATATTCCTCTCCATGGTGCAGCTACTCAAAGCCACTTAAAAGTCATGGAATATCTCATTCGGCAAGGATCTGATGTGAACAAAGGTGACATCAAGGGCTGGACGCCATTCAATGCTGCAGTTCAATATGGCAATGTAGAAGCAGTCAAATACCTCATGACTAAAGGAACGAAGCAGAACAGATATGATGGAATGACCCCTCTCTATGCCGCCGCACGATTTGGTCATTTGCACATCGTCAAACTCTTCATTTCCAAAGGAGCTGATGTGAACGAAGAAACTGACACAGGGATGTGTCCTCTTCATGCTGCAGCTAATGAAGGCCACTTGGAAGTCATGGAATATCTCATTCAGCAAGGATCTAATGTTAACGAAGGTTACGTCAAGGGTTCGACTCCATTCAATGCTGCTGTAAAATATGGCAATGTAAAAGCAGTCAAATATCTTATTGCTGAAGGAGCGAAGCAGAACAGATATGCTAAGATGACCCCGTTGTATGCAGCAGCAGTATTTGGCCATCTCGATCTTGTCAAATTCTTCACTTCCAAAGGAGCTGATGTGAACGAAGAAGATGACAAAGGGAAGATTCCTCTCCACGGTGCAGCTAATCGACGCCAAATGAAAGTCATGGAATATCTCATTCAGCAAGGATCTGATGTGAACAAGAAAGATGCCGATGGGTGGACTCCATTCAATGCTGCCGTTCAGTATGGCCATCTAGACGCTGTCAAATATCTCATGACTAAAGGAGCGAGGCAGAACAGATATGCTAGTATGACCCCGTTGTATGCCGCAGCAGTATTTGGCCATCTCGATCTTGTCAGATACTTCATTTCAAAAGGAGCTGATGTAAACCAAAAAGATAACAAAGGGATGGTCCCTCTTTATGGTGCAACTCTTAAAGGCAACATAGAAATCATGGAATATCTTATTCAGAACGGATCTGATGTGAACAAGAAAAATAACGCCGGGATGACTCCGTTCAATGCTGCTGTTGAATGTGGCCATCTAGAAGCCGTCAAATATCTCATGACTCAAGGAGCGAAGAAGGACTGCTATGATGGAATGACCCCTCTCTATGCCGCCGCACGATTGGGTCATTTGCACATCGTGGATTACTTCTTTTCCAACGGAGCTGATGTGAATGAGGTAACTGACAAAGGGGATATTCCTCTCCATGGTGCAGCTGATCGAGGCCACTTGAAAGTCATGGAATATCTCATTCAGAAAGGGTCTGATGTGAACAAGGCAGATGCCGAGGGTTGGACTCCATTCAATGCTGCTGTTCAGTATGGCCATCTAGAAGCTGTCAAATATCTCATGACTCAAGGAGCGAAGCAGAACCGTTACGATGGGATGACGCCAGTCTACGCTGCAGCGTATTTTGGTCATTTAGACATTATCAAATTCTTCATATCCGAAGGAGCTAATGTGAACGAAGAAAATGACAAAGGGAATATTCCTCTCCATGGTGCAGCTACTCAAAGCCACTTAAAAGTCATGGAATATCTCATTCGGCAAGGATCTGATGTAAACAAAAGTGACGTCAAGGGCTGGACGCCATTCAATGCTGCAGTTCAATATGGCAATGTAGAAGCAGTCAAATACCTCATGACTAAAGGAACGAAGCAGAACAGATATGATGGAATGACCCCTCTCTATGCCGCCGCACAATTTGGTCATTTGCACATCGTCAAACTCTTCATTTCCAAAGGAGCTGATGTGAACGAAGAAACTGACAAAGTGATGTGTCCTCTTCATGCTGCAGCTAAGAAAGGCCACTTGGAAGTCATGGAATATCTCATTCAGCAAGGATCTAATGTTAACAAAGGTTACGTCAAGGGTTCGACTCCATTCAATGCTGCTGTAAAATATGGCAATGTAAAAGCAGTCAAATATCTCATTGCTGAAGGAGCGAAGCAGAACAGATATGCTAAGATGACCCCGTTGTATACAGCAGCAGTATTTGGCCATCTCGATCTTGTCAAATTCTTCACTTCCGAAGGAGCTGATGTGAACGAAGAAGATGACAAAGGGAAGATTCCTCTCCACGGTGCAGCTAATCGAGGCCGAATGAAAGTCATGGAATATCTCATTCAGCAAGGATCTGATGTGAACAAGAAAGATGCCGATGGGTGGACTCCATTCAATGCTGCCGTTCAGTATGGCCATCTAGACGCTGTCAAATATCTCATGACTAAAGGAGCGAAGCAGAACAGATATGCTAGTATGACCCCGTTGTATGCCGCAGCAGTATTTGGCCATCTCGATCTTGTCAGATACTTCATTTCAAAAGGAGCTGATGTAAACCAAAAAGATAACAAAGGGATGGTCCCTCTTTATGGTGCAGCTCTTAAAGGCAACATAGAAATCATGGAATATCTTATTCAGAACGGATCTGATGTGAACAAGAAAAATAACGCCGGGATGACTCCGTTCAATGCTGCTGTTGAATGTGGCCATCTAGAAGCCGTCAAATATCTCATGACTCAAGGAGCGAAGAAGGACGGCTATGATGGAATGACCCCTCTCTATGTCGCCGCACGATTGGGTCATTTGCACATCGTGGATTACTTCTTTTCCAACGGAGCTGATGTGAATGAGGTAACTGACAAAGGGAATATTCCTCTCCATGGTGCAGCTGATCGAGGCCACTTGAAAGTCATGGAATATCTCATTCAGAAAGGGTCTGATGTGAACAAAGCAGATGCCGAGGGTTGGACTCCATTCAATGCTGCTGTTCAGTATGGCCATCTAGAAGCTGTCAAATATCTCATGACTCAAGGAGCGAAGCAGAACCGTTACGATGGGATGACGCCAGTCTACGCTGCAGCGTATTTTGGTCATTTAGACATTATCAAATTCTTCATATCCGAAGGAGCTAATGTGAACGAAGAAAATGACAAAGGGAATATTCCTCTCCATGGTGCAGCTACTCAAAGCCACTTAAAAGTCATGGAATATCTCATTCGGCAAGGATCTGATGTGAACAAAGGTGACATCAAGGGCTGGACGCCATTCAATGCTGCAGTTCAATATGGCAATGTAGAAGCAGTCAAATACCTCATGACTGAAGGAACGAAGCAGAACAGATATGATGGAATAACCCCACTTTATACTGCAGCAGTACTTGGTTATTTAGACATCGTCAAATACCTCATATCCAATGCAGCTGATGTGAACGAAGAAAATGACAAAGGGGAGATTCCTCTTCACGCTGCAGCTATTCAAGGCCAAACGAAAGTCATGGAATATCTCATTCAGCAAGGATCTGATGTGAACAAAAAAGATAACACCGGGATGACTCCATTTAATGCTGCCGTTCAACATGGCCGTCTAGAATCCGTCAAATGCCTCATGACTGTAGTAACAAAGCAGAACAGATATGATGGTATGGCCCCACTTTATACTGCAGCAGTACTTGGTTATTTAGACATCGTCAAATACCTCATATCCAATGCAGCTGATGTGAACGAAGAAAATGACAAAGGGGAGATTCCTCTTCACGCTGCAGCTATTCAAGGCCAAACGAAAGTCATGGAATATCTCATTCAGCAAGGATCTGATGTGAACAAAAAAGATAACACCGGGATGACTCCATTTAATGTTGCCGTTCAAAATGGCCATCTAGAAGCTGTTAAATATCTCATGACCAAAGGAGCAGTGCAGAACATATGTGATGGAATGACACCACTCTATAAAGCAGCAGTACTTGGTCATTTACATATCGTTGAATTCTTCATATCCAAAGGAGCTGATGTGAACAAAGAAGTTGACAAAGGGATGATTCCTCTCCATGGTGCAGCTTCTGGTGGCCACTTAGAAGTCATTGAATATCTAATTCAGCACGGTTCCGATGTCAACAAGACGGATTGCACAGGTGGGACACCATTCAATGCTGCAGTCAGAAACGGCCATTTAGAAGTTGTCAAATTTCTTTTTGCAAAAAGAGTTCAGGGTACCAGGTTTAAAGGATTGACCCCGCTTTACATCGCGACACAGTATGACCATGTTGACGTGGTAAAATTCCTTGTCCTCAATGGATATGATGCGACCGAAAGAAATGAATGCGGCAAGTCCCCTCTTCATGCAGCATGTTACAATGGCAACGTGGATATCGTGAAATTTCTCGTTCACCACAACGCTAATGTCAATGAACAGGATCATGATGGATGGACACCACTAGAAGCCGCTGCACAAGAAGGACACCAGGACATAGTCGAGTACCTTACATTGAATGGAGCATATATGAATCTGAAGGATATGGATGGTTTGACGCCGCTGCAGGCAGCAGTGAACGCAGGTCATCTGAATGCAATAGAAGGCATCTTATCCTGTAGAGGTGACCCTGATGAAGAAGAAACAGGCGATCCCCGAACCAGTGGCTACCAGAATCTCATCAGCAGAGGAAATGTGACTGTATCACTGAAGGATGCAGACACGCAGTCACGTACAGGAGAGTTAGCTTCTCAGGTAGACAATGCAGAGGATGGGAATGAATGCACCCTAGCTGATAATGCGAAGAGAGGAGCCGATGAACTCTCCTTGAAGAATCTTCTCACAAGGACCCATGATAATGAAAAGAGTGGCAATGAAGAACGCAGTCCTTTCAATCATGCTAAGCTGAAATATCCTGACAGAGATGAAGAAGATCCAATGCTAGATCAGATGGAAGCAATGAAGAGCCATGTGACAATAAATGGCACAGACTGTTCTTCCCCGCATGGACCCCAGAAGTGGCAATACAGCGGATTCGATCCACCCGTTCTACAAACCATGGAGACTGACCATCGTCCGTCTGAAGAACCGGAATCCAGATGTCATTCACTAATTGACGAAAACAGGGAAATGAGAGTGAGTGGTTATTACATGTTTAAGTTGTATCTGAACAGAGCATATATTTGATTGAAACTTTGGATAGAAATAATGGCAAATCATATATGTTTGGAAGCAACCATTCAGCCCATTCTAATGTCATCATAGAGATGAAAGACAAAGATTCGTAGAAAGCAAAAATTATGACCTTTTGTACATAGCCCTATCGTAAAGATTCCGTAGTATATTTTGCTTCCAACACACCTATGCATGAAAAAATGACTCAAATTCTAAAAATAGAGAATGGAAAATTACATGCAATACTATTACACACATTGGTCAGTTATTTATGTTGAGAGAAACAATAACGTGTTCATTCAATGCATGTATTTTAAAGTTTGTCGTACTAATTCCTCCTAGAGCATCCGTGCGTACCAAAACGAATTGTTGCCATTATGTCTCCTTAGTTCCTATCCTTTCATAGCGCACTAATATGACATTTTCTATGATGTAATTGATTTTCCCCGTCAGGAATCTCCTTCACCGATGGAAGCTGTAAATGATCTACCAATCAACGTAACTTCAACGGATTTAGAGAGGTACTAGTCACTTTCCGTTTCTTTTATATGAGTAAACCTCATTATTCGTAGAACGAGATATATTTAGTTCATATATTTCGCTCCAAAATTACTTGCATCATTAATAACAACAGTTTTCTTCATGTTTATTGAATATTCTGTATTATTTTGTATATTCTTCATAATGTACATGAATAACCATTTACAAAAGAAAAGCAGTATAAACGTAAACTGTGTGACATTACCTATCAGCAGGATTGGAGCACTTTTGGATTCATTACCTGCCTGGACTTGATCTTTTAAGAAGCAAGAGAACAGCGAAACGAGACCTCATGCGGTACCCAGAGTTCTGTTAAGGTCGCTATTTTAATTCTAGGTATTTTTTCCTTAAAGATAATACAAAGTTTTGGTATGAGGTCATGACTTTGGTTCAAATGAACATATTGGGAGCATATGCGATCCTACAATGTTCAGTGATCGTTGTCGCGGTTGAAATCGAGTTTAAAGTTATGAAATTGTAAATAATAAAGTCTTTATGTTGTATAGCTCCCTTTCAAGGTCAAGATATTAATTAAGCTATAAAACAATGTTTCTTGACTAAAATCAACCGATTAGCTATTCCCGTTTGGAAATTATAGATCACAACTACATATTCTGAGATTTTCATGGTCACAGCTATCATTATACGGCCGTAGGCGCTTTTTGAAATTTATCAAAATTTACCGGGAGCATCGGTAAATTTTTATTTTCAATTTTTCTCGAAAGCAGAGGTGTTTTAGGGGCTAAATTTTCTAGTGCTTATAAAACATCCACAGGGGCATCCAAATATATCAAAATTGCAAAGAATTACTATCCACCCAATTTTTAAAATTTCCAAAATCTTTGTATTACCTTTAAACGTCTATTTGTAAACATTCATACATGCATTTGCATATTACAGAGATTTTTTTTTTTTTTAATGGGCAAAAAATGTAATCATCTAGGTTAACCTTACTAGGGACCCAATTCGATTGGCTTATTTTGGTCATTCCTGACATCACCTAACTCTAACTTCTACAATTAATTCAAAAGCTTCCCTACACACCCACCAGCTGTCGTTCACCAAAAGTTGTATGACGGAAACCCTGTCTCCACCCAAGGAATCTCCTCAATCCAAGTTGGGAAAATCGGGGTGAGAGAATACTGCCTCAATTTATCATTGCTAAGTAACTTGCTGTTGAAGTTATGATGTAGTATAACAAGCTTATGCTAAAAATGAATTATAGTTCTGCATCTTATATGAGGATATCTTTTATAATTAAAGGATACTACCAGAATATTTAAATTATGTTTGTGAGGAAAGGTCTCCACCCAGTGTTTCATGTCTTGTTCACATCAGATCCTTGCTGAATTAGATGTTCCATGACTATGTCAAATTTCAACAACGTTCTGTTTTAAATTCATACCCTTTTGATTGGGACCAAACTTCGTACAGCGGTTTACCGGTGTCCTTCAATCCCGGCGCTCTTACAAACTTTCCTGCAGATGATTATAGCTTTGGCCATCTTGCTAGCTGGAAGTCTGGTTCTTGTAGCAGGCAGTGATAGCATCGAACGGGTAACATTACAAGCAGGTAAATCTGGTGTGGTCTCATTCCTTCTCCCACGGTCACCTAGTGACACATCCCAGGTTGTTCCATATTACACACTTGGATTTCAATCCGAGCCTCGTCCATTCTGCATTAATGGACAGAATGATATCGCGGGCTTCAAAAACCCATCCCAGTTGCGAAGATTTACCACCTCAGTCACAGATTTAGACACCTCTCCTTTTGTGAATCTGATGATAAATAACGTTGATACTGTAGACGGGGACGGATACGTATTAAAGACAGTATATTTTGAAAACGTTTGGCATGAAACTATAAAGAAGGAGGTTGATGTACAAATCCCACCCGGACGAGCAAAATGCCATATCACTTTAAGTGGAAATGTTGATTATCCCTACGAAGTACACTGTCGAGCCAACACTGGAAGCGTTACAACCACACTCATGTTACCAGAATGATCAGAAGATTGATATCAGAGGTGATATTACAGATAATGGGTTAATTACCAGACGGATATTCTGGCTACACGATTACACTCATTTTTCTTGTTGCTCACATGATGTAACCTCGCATGTGAATGCAACAACGTGCAATGACTTCGAGTGGCCACCTATCAAAGGGACTACAAGGCAGATTGGTAATACTGTACCTACATCAGTTACCACTCCCACACTCCAGATAGAATCTCATACAGTGTCAGGGGCTTGTAGGCAGTCCATGCTTCCTTTTATGTGGCACTTCACATACCTGTTCATATACATCCTCGCTTTTGTTACAATATACTAAGCACAAAGTCTTCACACGTGATGTCACTTTCTTATTTCACAAAATAGTGTAATACTAACAACTAAATGTGAACATATATTATCTTTCGATTTCGAATTGCATTAATGTATACAATGTACTAATATTCATACATATGTGTCTTTATTTGAAAGAAAATGTCAAAATGGCCTTTTTTCAATTTGTCGTTATGTGTATGTATGCTTTGTTTAATAGTCTATGGTCTGCTTTATTTCAATAATTGATGGAACATATTTAATATAGATGACATTCTCTTTTATCAGCTTGTCGATTTGACATAGACCAGGCCTTTTAAGTACTGTAGATTACTATCACCCAGCCATGTCTGGCCCCAACTTTAGAATAAATTTGAACCATGGGGGTGTCATATGAATTACTCCGTGGATCGACATGTGCACGATGAACATTGCTCTAAAGATATATGGTACCTATGTTGCCAAGTATATTGTCTTCACCAATCATGCAAATGTTAATTTAGAGTGTGATTTCTGTTCAGATTTAATTTTCACCATTTTCAACTTGAACCTTGTGTTACTTTTAAAAATTAAACAAAATGGTATAGATTTAGTGAATGTAGGCTATATACAATTCTCAAAATTATAAATTATCTTAATGACGTCAGAGAGTTAACAAAATTGGATATAAGAAGTAAATATATCATTATATTGTAAATATCCTCTGTTTGAAACCAGAAAGTCAAACACATTAACACAGAAATAACGCCTGTCTGGCTTCAAATGGCGATATGTGGTTATTTATCGTTGTGTCACTTTAAGACTAAACAGTTGTTTTAATTTGCAAACACAATGTTTTTATAGCGCCTTGTGGTAACATGTTTTTTTTTTCTCATAAAGTTTACGTTTCTTTTCTTTAGTATACTTTTGTTTATATTCATATTACTAGTTTCTTCCATACCGCTGTTGAACACCATGTACTACATAATTTGTTTGGCTTAATCAATTATTTTAACAATGTAGTTAACATGTATGTCTACTTTTCCTAACGTAGTTTACATTAATATACATGTTATATAGAACGGCTTGAATTTATATTAATGCGTATATTATGTTTAACGCCATTCCCAACACGAGCCCTAAAAGATAGAGACATTGTACTTCATTGCAGAATATGATGTTATATATAAAGCAAGTTACTGCATGGAGTTATGCGTAGTGTATATCACATGTTAATGTGTCTTCATGATGTCTTTTTAAATAGAACAACATTATATATGTGGTTTTTAAACATGCTTTGCAGAAGTTTTTTTCAATGTCCGCCAAAGGCAGATTGAGTCTTCCTTCTGTTACACTCTCCTTGCCACATTTAGGCTGAGAGCTGACCCGATTCTGTTACTCAGTTATGTTATTATCTTGATTGCATTTAATGTATACCTTTACCTTACAGTAATGAATCCGGGGGTTGCATTCCCCTGTCCTGTTTATCTTGTACAATATGTACATTCTACTGTATGCGGCCTAAGCATACATAATGTTGCCAAAACTTTGATCCTGCTATCATCTTTTGAATATTTGTTATGTCATCTTTACTGGAATTTAAGTGCACTAATTTCAAATATCTATGTAAGCCGCAGTTTAAATGTCACGGCTTTATAATGAAACTCATTGTGGACTTACACTATATGACTTGCTTGTTATCATACATAGGAAAAATCAAACACGTATTTACGTATTGTTAATCATGCAATATGAAATGTGTAAGAAATATTGATAGTTATCAGTGGTAGTCGCTATAAATGCTGTATATTATTCGTCGATACATGTAGGGTCTATATCGTTTATGAATAATTTTACGATTTGTAAAGACATCGTTTCCAATATTTTGCCTACCGTTGGAGATTATCTTCTAAATAGAAATTTGATATTAAGTGTATTGCTGAGTATAGTATGCATTATTGTACATTTATCTATGAAAATCATAGAAAATCAATTGGCTAAGAATGTATTGTATAATAACCGAACCTCTCAACGTATTTTGAATGATGAATTACGAAAGTTCGAAGTCGTAGAAACGAAATGATTAATGTTGTATATGTATATCACTTATACTTTACTCAATATTATAATCATGATAATAAAGGCCTTGCTCTTTTGTATTTGGGGGTAGAGTGTATGCTTTAGATTGTGCACATATTCAAGTTATGTTTGACATACACACCGACATAATTGATCATATTGTCCGTTGATTTACAGTGTTTTTAATTATTTGTAATGAAACAATGTATTTCAAGTATTAAAAAAAAATTATTTATGGATAACACATTTTGGAATTATTATTAGGTAACTAACGGTCTAATGTTGCCATTTAAAAATAACAGAAACAAACTTTTGGAGATCCTTTTCTTTTGCTCTATATGTAAATGCTCGAAAAAGGACGATGTAGATTTTAAAAAACCATTAGACCAGCCATGAAGACGTGAGAAGCACTAAAACCAATTATTAAATAGTTAACAAATAAAATCATACATGAGGATTTAGGCTACGCAGCCTGTTTAATAGCGTCTGTGTACAGGTGCATTGGCTTCACTTTGCATTATTTGGGAATGGTAATATTCAGAGAGAGCCTATATTCACGCGTATGAATCATAAAATATGAAATTTGTACGAAATATTGAGAGT